TAGATAGATAGATAGATAAATAGATAGATAACTAGATAGATAGATAGATAGATAGATAGGTTAGATGGATAGGTTAGATGGATAAAATAGCACGGTCGCGCAGCACAAGCCAAAAGCCAAAGACAACAGAATCCAGAAGCCACAAAAGCCACGAAAGCCACGAGAGCCATGAAAGCCTTCCTTCCTTCCTTCCTTCCTTCCTTAAAAGCAAAAAGCCAGAATCTAGAAGCCTCGAAAGCCAAAAGCCACAGAAGCCACAGAAGCCAGAAGCAACAACAACAAGTCATGAAAAAAAACACAAAACAAACAACCTAACATAATTGGTGCTCCACATGTATTTGGCTGTAAAATGCTGTGCCGCTAAACTTATTGCGTTCGCACACGAAGCGCTTGTGCATCAATCCGGCTTCATGGAAATTGTAGATACGTCAATGTCTGAAATCAGTTGGTATATTGATGTTCTTGGAATCTCTAGATATGTTGTGATATCATTTGGTAATTTGCAACAAATACTTTTATCCGGCGCTCCACCTGTCGCTCGGCTCCAGCTCCACCTTCGTCAAGCGTGTTCCTGAACTTCTAAACTTGAAGTCTGACGTTCCCTGACGCCTGGACCGGACGCTACCTAGCAAATGAACTGGCGTAGACCGTTGGACTTCTGCGCGTGGCTCATTGACTTGGTGTAAGCCCATCCCTGAGTGCGGCCAACGATCGCAGTGCGGAATAGAACGGTCTGGGCCGGGCAGCATTGTGCAGCAGGGGAATGTAGAGGCACCAACAATGAAGGTGTCATCGCAATTGGTGATCTCTTCCAGCCACTCATACACGGTTTCTCGTATTTGAGCTGGCTCCGAGATTTCTTCGAAGAGGTCTTCTGGATGAATATCCCCATCAGGTGCTCCCAACGCAGTGCTCTGTGCAGTCTCCCTGGGCTCCTCCTTTTCGCGCGCGTGGACTTTGACTTCCGCCACCTGTCACTGCTCGGCTCCAGCCCTGCCTGTCAGGTCACAACATGGTTGTTTCTTAACTTTCAAATCTAAACATAAGTCTACTATTGCCTGATGATTCTTCTTTCGAAGCTACCTGCAAATGAACTGGTGTTAAACTGTTGGCCTTGTGGGCGTGCCAAGTTCTTCGTTGTTCGGGTCATGTCCCATTTTGGGCCTGATGACCTGGTAGGAAAAACCAGGTGATATACAGTGGTTCCAAATGGCACAAAAGCCCCACGGTGTCCTTTATAATTCTGGGGAGGCTGCCATCTACTCTGAAACCACCGGAAACGCACGTTCCTCCTGGTTTTGAGAAGGGGTGTCCCCAATTAGGTTAAAAAAAAGGCACCAACCAACACTACCCAGCTTTTCATCTAGGCCGTGCACCCGCCCCCCTTGCCGCTTCACTGCCGCTCTCCTGGGCCCCACTGCTTTCCACTCTGCTCACTCTTGGCACCCAAGGCATGAAGGCCTTGGAGACCGTTGCCACTAGCGGCGAGAATGGCCATCTCCAGGGCCTGGAGATAGCGAGGTCAGGGGTGAGGCTGAGCTTGCAGGGAGATACACTGCCTGGAAGACCACATGGTTACGTGGAGAATGGCCGTGAGTTCGGAAGACCATGAAATCCATTAAGACTACAATCAGGAAGTTGTTCATTTGCATGTTAGTTCCAGGGAGAGTACTGGCCCCCCAAGACTGGAACGGCTCGATTCCCTGAACCAGCAGAGGTTGAAGAACCCTATAGACTATCTTATAGGTACCCCTGTAGGGTCCTATAAGGTCTCTCAACCTCCGATGGAAGGATGATTTATCGAAGTGGCCGCTGCGAAGAATTCTCTTTAGCTTCGCAAGAACATCGTTGATGAGTTGCAGGAGGAGATTGACGCGGCGCAGGGTGCGGGGGAAGTTGGTGCAGGGTTTGGGAGGTGTGGTATATACATGTTACATCATACATGATATTGTATTGCACTTCACTTGAAAATCAATAATACATCTATATATATAATATACTATATTATATATATAGTCTGTCTGGCGGCTGTTCTTGCTCTGCTTTCTTCTGACCACACCCAATTCTATTAACTGTTGCACTTGTGGAAGGTCTTGACAGTCCCACCTTTTGGCGGCCAGTGATCCACAAGGCGTCTCCTGACCACACCGCTACACCACCAAGCCCAAAAATAACGGCGTGGTTGCCCCAGCCATGCAGCCATCCTCAAGTAGATAAATTGATTATCCCTAGGGATCCACTGCCACCTTCTCAGAAGGTACGACTGGGCCGACCCTGGCACCTACATAAATAGTCTCCTTCCTCACCGTACCTGAGAAGGTATGTGGATCCATAGGGGATTGATAAATCCACCACAAAAAGGTGATCATACTTATTTCTCACTCTCACTCCCTCCATATATTATATATCTCTCTCTCCATAGCCCAATCCATAGGCTGCGGCGAGCTACGGTCCCTCGTTGATTAGCGTCTTCTACCCCTCTTTCTGTATAATTTAAATATAATATAGATATGTATATATATATATGTGTGTGTGTACGTGTATATAACTATATATTATTACTATATCCCATTGTAATTATATCCCTATTAAATGTCTCCTCACCTGTCTCTTCCCTATCTACTGCAGACCAAACTGTCCGGCACCTCCTGTCCGGCATCTCCTCAGCCAAGCCCACCTGGGACGCTCGTTCAGCTTGAAGTCGAGCCAGGGCTTCGAAAACAGCACCTGGAAAAACTTCAGCAGTCACTGGAGCAGTTACTGGAGCCCTGCTCTGAGGCAGTTTCTGCGAAGACAAAACGCCATCCATCATCCCATGTGACCGTGGTGAGGAAACAAAGCACTGGCAAAGGGGCTCAATGGGGGGGCCAAGGTTTCAATAGAGACAATACTGATATGATTGGAGGTGCATGTTCCACCGGTTTTGTTGCAAAAGCAGATCCCGGCAAAAGGGCTGATCCCGGCAAAAGATGTTGGAGGATGTGCTCAGCAGCATCCGTAGCGGTGAGGTTCTCTCACCGATTGTCACAACAAATGACGTTTCATAAGGCTTCAGCCGAATTTCAATGGCAGAAGAGCGGACAAGTTATAAACAACACAAATAAACACAACTCCTCACCTCAGAATAATCACATGTCCATCCCACTTGGTTAAAAGGCGGTCATACAACATCCCCAGTTCATTCCTCGTCCAGCGCAGCCAATGCCCGGCGCCGTATCTCGCGTGACGCCGTATCGTCGCCCCAGGCGCTGGGCTGAGATTCTTCGAGGCCTGGTGGTGGAAATACCTGGAGATCTCTCAGCTCGTACTTCTTGGACCCGATGGGTACCGACATACAGACCTACCCTGACCGAGCTCGGTGGTATATTGGACACCCCTGAACTTCAACCCCTAGTGCAGAACGAAAATGTACTGAATGTACTGTATCAAATACACTCTGACTCACTAACATGGAAGTGGCAAACCACGTGTTTGTAGAGGAGTAGTCTTCCACCATTGTCCACGTAACCCATGTGATGTGGTCGTCAGAGTGTACCTTTTTAGATTGGTCTTGGGGTCATGTCATATCCCATGTTCTCTTGATACCCCGGTCCATGTACCGACGTGGTACGGCGTGGGCATGTCTCACTCCTACTGGGTCTGCGAAGGCGCCGGGTCACCAAACGGTGGGACACCATCGTTGGATGTTTGGAGTACTGAAGCTTTCACCTGGTGCTCACTCTCTGGAACTGATGGGCAGAGTGAAGGCCTTGAGGGCCTTGGTGTTGAAACATGTTTCACTGGATGCCCCTCAAAATGACCGGACACCAGTCCGGTCAGAGACACCGAATTCAGGAGTGGCAACCAAGGATGAGAACTTGTGTCCGACTGTATCCATTCAACACTCTTTTATCATATATTATTCCAGGAGTGGCAGGCAAATATCCAGACTTTTCCCAAGACCACTGGCACCAACACCGTTTTTTTCACGATTTCCCGGATCCTCCAGAGTAGTCCCGAGCCAAGAAACAGGACGTCCCGAGCCGTTGGATCCCGGAAAAGAGCGAACTTCCCATCTGATCCTGAGGTGAGGTGACCCCAAAGATCTCCACACTAAGCTGACTCTAAGCGTGGTGATCCGCTGAACTCAAAGGAACAGGCCAGTCTCGCGCCGATCGGGCTCACCGCTGGAGCGCTGGTCATCCTTCCTGCTGTGCTTGGCGATGAGACAAGGTGGATGGAGTGATCTCCCGGGAAAAAAAACAACAGCACCACCATTGTCGGGTGGTGATTGGACAAACCAAATACACGGTTGGTAGGGGGAGGGTCCATAAACCACCAGGACAACATTCCCCAACTACGAGGATTCACCCAATTCGAAAGAATATACCGTAGAATCACCCCAAGCGACACCAAGTGAACAGCCAATATGACCATGCCATAAAAATGACGTGGCAGTGTTAATTGAGGACAAGAACCATGCCCGGGCCATGCAAGCCCCTTGATTCAACTCTTATTGCTTGCTTACAGGATCTTTGTTTGGGCCGTTACTCTTCTGCACCATTGTCCATTCCCTTGGACATTTCACTGAAAACTTCAGGGGCGGTCACACAACCGTTAAGGCTGAAAGCCAAGGAGCTATTAAGCATATATAGGATGGTCACCCTATGTTTCTACAAACATCAATGGTCTTGGCGGGCCGAGGCTGACAACCTGCTTGGAATGTGACCCGTCGGAACCGCGTGTGCCGTTCTTGTCTTATTGAAACATGCTCCCGTCGGTTTTTGCGTGGCCTATACATAACACGGCTTTAGAAAGCTTTGTTAGTGAGACCCCGCAGGGTCAGGGAGGCCCCGGAAAAAAAATAATACGGAATGTGTTTGAGCTGGGGTAAACCCACTTTATATATTGACTATGCAAGCCTAACTGTAGCCTAACTTGCATTAGCTTACCAATTGCAGTGAGTGTGAATGCTTTACAGGAAGGATAACACAACTCTTAAACAAGGTGTCACGGAATGCCTAAGACTTTAAGAGCTTGTTGCTAGAACAACTTCTATATTGTTTGGTGCTTTCTGTTCGTGCAGGCCTTTGAAGAAACACACGTTCTTTCTAGTCTCTGCCAAGCATGTTGAACCTGAAAACAAACTCTCAAGTACTACTCCTCGTCAGGGCCACGGGCCTCCATGCTAGTGAGCCAGAATGCGCAAAAAACCCGAAACTGACCTCATCATCTGTAATGGGGCGTCTCCAATCCCTCAAGAAAGGTGACCTGCAGCTTATCCACTTACTTCCTGGGTATGAATGGATCTAGTCGTCTTTGGCTCCTGTCCCAGGCCTCCCGCGTGCTTGGGCATGCTCATGGTCCGAACGTTCGACTGCCTGGGCGACACGTTCGGTGGAAGAAGCATTGCCTTCAGGTCAAGGGGGTACCTGGAAGAAGCTGCAATATAACGGTTGTTTTTTACCCATCCGAGATCCTAGGAGTCACTAGAAGTCCTAGGGACTTTTGGAGTGGAAACCATTGGAAACTCCTATAGCTACCATGTGGATTGAGAGTAGATGGCACCTTTGGGCCCCCCGGGGCGGTGGCTTGATATTCTAAGAGGCATGTAGGGGTGCCAGCGCCATCTGTACCACCTTCATGCTTTGAGATTTCACCTGGCAGCTAGAACATTGCTCCGGTTCCTCGACTGTCAAATGCCGTTCGACAGCTCAGGGCCTGGCTCAGAGCCGCCAATTGGGAGTGGGGATGAGGATCGTGTGCCGGGAACAGCAGCAACTCGTTCAAACTGAGCCACCAAAAATGCAGCACGATGGCATCGCCCGATTCGCGGCAAAGCCCTGAAGTCACTGGTTGTTTCTCTGGAAGTGCGAACTCGATCCATGCATGTGTTGTTTGTTGATCCTTCCCCCCCACATAGATCCAAGAACATCAAGAAGAGTCCCATCTCAAGGACAACATGGGACAACTATATATAAATAGTATAATAATATCAAAACCCGCTGGGTTGAATAACCGAGAAATCGGTCTTATCACAACATCCAGTCAGGCTCTACTCTGGTTTGATCAGGGAGCAGTTCCAGGTCAAGCGGACGAGATGATATGTAATCCAATTGTCCCCTTTATACCAGGACCCTCTAAGGGCTGCCCAATGGAAGCCTATAGGTAGTGTGGGGTAGTCCATTGGACACCCCTTGGAGGGTCCTGGTATTATAGTTTATATACTGCCCTAAGGATCCGGAACCCCTCAGGACAAGCCCCTGCGAACTGGAACGTTCGACCTGTGCTGCTATGGAGGACTGAAAAGGTTCTCAATGTTCATTTTCTTAGGATGACTGACAATGTGTGCAGCACTGGGAATAAAGGATACAACAATATCCAAAGGTTTTTACGCACTTAGCCCCAAGCGACCCCCTCCAGAAGCACAATTGCCGCCACTTTTTTCTGGAAACGAACCACGGGGCGCGTGGCAAGGGAGTGCTCGCAGCATTCGCAGTCAAATCTCTCACGCTGCGTCTCTATTTTTTTTGTCTTTTGACCTGAAAACGGCGAGTCAATCTGGGACGTCAGGTTAGGAGGAGTCTGGTCAAAGTGTACCAGACAAACAGCTGCTTAGCTTCATGGAAAGGTTTGATGCTGTGGCATGTCCTCAAGTCATTAACTTGATTCTATTGATCCAATTGGGACCCTAAAGAACCCAGAGCCCACCAAGAATGAGACTAATGAGACTGATCTGTTTTCGCTCCCCGACTCGCGGAAAACCCAGAGCGCTTGCACTGAATCGAACCATTTCCAAGGCTGAGTTGGAAACAAGCTTGGCGTCAGTGTGTGACTCGCAGCAGTTCGTCCGTTGCGAGGCATGACTCCTCTTGTCTCCGAGGCACGTAGTGTCGTTGCGAGGCCATCAGGCCTCCGCAGCTGGTGCGCAGTTAAGTTTCTTTCCATGTTTGTCCAAATCCTACTGGTTGCTTTCAGGTGATACTAAAATGGCATACCGGCACCCACATGGCTGGTTTCCAAGATGTCTTTTCCCACAATGGTGCACTCATCGCAATTCCATGGAGGCCCGCTTCTAAATCTCTTTTAAACTGCCACCACACTCAAGCCACAGGGATATTAAACATGAAGGCATGTCAACTGCAAAAGCTGTGAGAGAGGTGTCTAGCGCGGACCTTTTCAGGAGCCTGTTGGGCTGCTGGAGCTGTTGTTGTTGCTGCTACTGTTGCTGCTAGACTTCTGCAGTTGTTTCCAGTTTTTAGTTCTCAGAAACCTTCAGAACGACATAGGAAGGACGTAAGAGCTGACTCAAAAGATTTGGGTGTTGGATGGGCAAATGGTCAAGAAATGGACCATCGTCTAACGCTGTGCTAGCGCGGATCTAGCGCCAGCCTAGCGCAAAAATATCTGTCGATTTCTTTATCCTGTCAGATTTTTTTGGTTCCTGCTTGCTTGTCTTCTTCTTGTTGTGCATTATTGTTATTCTGCTTCTTCTTGTTTGTTTGTTGTTTTCTTGTCTTGCTTCTTCTTTTTCCTGCTTGCTTATCTTGTTATGAAGAAACCTAGCGCCAACCTAGCGCTGCCTTGCTGTATCACCATAGTCTGCTGGGGGCCCGCTTCTAAGCGAAGACTTAAAAACACATCTCCAACCTTAAAAGTTTACGTTTATCTATTTTTTGAGTAGGGCCTTTTGAGCACAGTCCATATGTGGTCATGTGGGTATGCACATCTGAAAGCAACATCTCCTATAGCGCCACCTTCGGGATCTCTGCCACCTTCGACTCACGGTAGGCTGATGGTTGGCCTGTAAAATCTTTCTACGACCCTCATGAGCAAAACAATCTCGCGTATACCCCCAGGGCTCCTGTCCCATATCCTCAGCTTCGGAGGGCACAAACCACCAAACCGCCCACCCCAACCATCTTCGAAACGGAGGTAGGCCAGTAGTTTTAGGGTACACACGCATACGCATCCGGTTCCCCGATGGCACGGCGTGACACACACCACGCCTGCTGCCACGAACAACGTGAAAGAACTGAACCGAAAGGCCCTGAGGGGACCATGCTCGTACATGAGGCCTCAAACTCGGTGCCCGGTGCCGCGTGAAAAAAGCAACGCGTGACATCGGGTGCAGGTCGTGTGGTGCGGAAGACGGCGACCGGCGACCGGCGAGTCCGACGGTGAAATCAGATCTGGTTGAGGAAGAGCTGTTGCCCTGATAGCCACCAGGTAGGTTTCTTCCTGGTGACTCTCAGGTTGAGTCGATCTGAGAGGACGCTGTCAGCAGGTATCGTTGATGTCCTGAAGAATTACCTCATCTCCAAAACGCCCCCGTGGTGGCGCCAATATGGTCTACATTCACCACCCAAAAACATATTACATGGATGTAGGCCATTCTTTGCAGTCTGTTTGGTCGCTTCTGGGTTCCCTGAGGATCCATTTTCCTTCCCCCAAAGAAAAGGGCTTGGAGGGTACGAACTGCTGTGAACTGGAGGGTTCCGAGGATTCATAGACCCTAGGGCTCCTGTCCCATCTCCTCAGGTTCGGTGGTTAGACCCCCGAACCCCACCCCAACCACCTTCTCAGGAGGTGGGCCAGGCCCTAGGGAGAATAGACCTTACTTTCCCCCAGGCGCGGCGTCGAGAACTTCCCCCGAAATCCAGCGATTCTTTCTTTGCAGCATGGCCGGCCAATGGGGACAAATCCCAACTCCAACAGAACAGGTCAGCTGGAGGCACCACCCATTTTGGAGGGTTGGCCACGGGATGAAACAACTTCTAAAAAGTAACATACATCATGAGGGTATGTGAGGGTCAACAAACCGCCAAACCGCCCTGAGTGGTGCGGACATGTTGCGGATTTTTGTCCCGGTATAACCGGCCTGAGTGACCCTCCCCCTTGGATCACACACCACCCCAACGATGTTCTCCAGTACTCAGGAGTCATGTTTGGCTTCTTAACTTCTTAACCCTAGGGCTCCAAGTACCTTCTGAGAAGGTGGGACTGGGGTGGGTTTGGAGGGTCCAAACACCTTCTGAGGATGTGCTTGGAGCCCTAGGGCAAGGTAGATCCATTCCGTTCACCTGAATGAACGGGGGACCGGCCGTCCACGGCCACTCCCACTGCTTCGAGTGGCCCAGCAGTGCCGGAGACAGGATCCTGGCCACGGACATCACCTCAACAAACGAAGACCAGTCGTTTCGAAGAACCTGGTGATGTTGAAGCAAGATATGAATCGGACCACGCTTATGAGCATGTCACTGAGCATGTCATGTAATTGCCTAGGGCTCCAGTCGTACCTCCTCAGAAGGTATGACTGGAGCCCTAGGGATTGTCATGACATACGTGTGAATCACTCGAAGTAACGTCGGATGTTGACCGTTGATCGCTGTGGACCTACTGCCAGCGTACCTCAGAAGAGAAGGACTGGGCCCGACCCTGGCGACATGAATAGTCTCCGTCCTCACCGTACCTGAGGATCGGTATGTGGATCCATATATAGAGGATTTATTAAGAAACATAGTATCACACACAAAAAACAAAACAACATATTGGAGATGTTCGACCCATCTAGGGAGGCTGAGCGGTTCTTAGTCAGTCAACGTGATATAGTGAGTGGGTCAAACCTGCGTCTGGCAGTGGCACAAAACGTTCCTCAACAAAGGATTCAAGTTGCCATGCATCTTCTCCCACTGCGGTGCTGAAGAGGCTTCGTCATGTGTTGCAAAAGCATTCGCTGGGACCCTATTAACGTCGAAACTCTGTGCACACACGGTCACACCCGTGAAGGAAAGCTTGGAGCCAAAGTCTGCTGGCAAAGGCTGCCTTTGTCTCACTGACAAAATGAATCATTAAGAATCTGTGTGGCACTCAACATGCCCCTGCGTTTGCTCTGCTTTACATCTCTGAAGAAACATCGCCATCGCCTGCTCACTTGCTGGTCCCCAAATCCATTCCACCCAAACATAAAGAAATCACCCGATCGGCTAAAACCAGGTCAATTGAGAAATGATGAAATGGCTTCAGTGAACAACTATTATGTCAGTGCCAGAAGAATTCGAAGGAATCAACCTCCAGCGGGACCTGTTGGTGGATGGGTCAAAATCACGGAACTGGATGTTTAACAGGTGCTGGCAGATACCTCACGTCACGAATTTGCATGTGGCACATACCTCGAAAACCCAAAGAAACACTGGTTGACTATACAACCCCTAACAATCCATGTGTGGCACATTTGTCTGCATTGGCGTGACTTTAAGATGCTTTAAGTGTTAAGGGTCTATGCCCTTTCAGAAGCCAATGCGTGATGGCGTGATGTGTCCAAACTCCTGTGTACCTGACCCGTTCCAACATCTTGTTGGCCCTTACCAGTCTGAGAAGGACCTGAAAGTTTCCTCCTACAACCCTAACTGCCTGCGATAAGTGGCCATAGGCCATAACTATCATTAGTTTCAAACTCACTGGTCTCACCTTGATCCACCACCAGATCGCTTCTGCCTGCCACAGTGCCACCCCTGACTCACACAGCCGTCCAGCCACCCAAGCATCCATGGCAATGATGCGGCCGCGGAAGCGCTCGGGCGAGAAACGCGCCAGTAGAATGGGCACCGAGGGGGTAAAGGCTGGCACCTCGAGGAGACGGCAACGTCCGGCTCAGTAGAGGTGGGGCGTCCAGCAGACTTCCGAAAGTCGGTCCTGCCGATTCAAATGGCACTGGCAGCTGCATGGAGGGTCCTTTGAATTGAACGGGTCCATATCAGCCCTGCCTGCTGGGGGGGTTGTGCTATCGTCTGAAAACACTGTATAATCAAACCTGGAGAACCATTTGGTACACTAAAATGTGTACCACTTTTTTTCTGCACGTTTCCCAGAAATGTGTTCGACTCAGGGTCCCAAAAAATAAGGTGTTCGTGTGTTTTGGTAACTGCGTCTTGCCGGTGACATACGCAGTTGCCGGTGACCTGCAGGTTCTTCCGTCCCGCCGTCCCGAGGCACGCCGAAGGCGTACAAGAGCAGCGTGAGGATCAGCCGGTGGTGGCTCATGGCGATGAAGGAACTGGACATGCACAGTAAGCCTCGGCGGAAGCGCTGCAGGAAGTTTAGACACTGCAGCGCTGACAACACCAAGGCGGGACTGGGGTGGAACCCCAAGGCTTGGCTTCTGTGACTCCTGGAGAAACCACCCCATGGGCCCATGACCAACAAGTTGAACACGTGGAGCATTGACTGAAAACGGCGCGTCTGAAGAGCTCACGGTGCGGGTGTTCTGAAGAAACATCGTGGCGCACGGAACATTGGTATTTGGAGCTCAAGAATGCCAGCAAACATGAGTTTGGTGGAATGCAGCCTCCTGTGCTTGATCCTCAAACCTTCGATCAAACTATCTTTGTTCAACTAAGTAGGGTGACCGGGCGTGCAGCAGTAAACATGTTACATGTTGCTTGTCTGTATAGCCAGGTGTGCTGTAAACAGTTGATTATTGATTACTATAGATCAATGACTCTGTTCATGGTGCTGAGTTCTGTCGGAGAATAGTGATCTTGAACTGTGATTAGTGGGATTTGCGCGTTTAAAAATATATGAGATTTGCGCAAGCGGTCGAGGTGATACCCCTTACTCTGCCATGGGGCATCCGGACACCCATTTCATAGAGGATTTGTGTTTATAAAATGGACGTCCGCAAAAAGAGTTTATATATAATGATGGCCGTATGTGTCTCCAAGTTTGGTATATAATGATGGTGCTTCTAAGGTATCAAAAAGGATCAAAGAACTCTGGAGAAGTGGCATGCTTCTAAAATGATAGGCTCCAGGATCAATAAGCACCAGTATAGCTTTTCCTGAAACCTTTATGAAATGACAAATCCACAAGCAAACCTGGGCGACCCCATCACTCCATCTTTGGGCTACTACTTCTTAGGACTCTGGGGTGTAGAAGTCAAAAAGTGCGGTTTTGACTGGGTTTCCAGTTTCTCTCAGGCTCCTGGGGAAAGAAAACCCAGCTGAATTGAACACATATTTATAAAATGATCTGGTAGTTCCCAAATTTTGCAAAATATGCAGAAATTGTTTGGAGATATCATTTTATAAATGGTATCCCCTGTTCTACCCCACTCGTTCCGGACCTCCCATTCACGCTTCCCCTGTTGGGAGTTCCTGAAACGCCACTGTGAACTCACTTGGATCACCAGCAGCAAATGAAGATCACGTGAGAAAAGAAGACAGAAAACAAAACAACCTACAGAGCGAACTCCCAAGACGACAGGTGCTTGGAACACCCGTTGAAGAGAAGTTCGGCGAAATTTGCCAATTCGTCCACTGAAAAACGGATTGAAGCGCCAACGATGGCCCCCTGGGGAAGGGCACGTCCTTCTGTCTTGAGCTTGTACTGGTCAGTCTTGCCAGGAAAAACTCCATGGGAGGAAAGTTTGTTAAAGAAAACGAGGACCCTCCTCAACCAGAATGTCAAATCACGGAAATTGCTGTCCGCAGCTGAGCATGATCGAAGGACATATCCACGCACCCAAAATAGGTACGCAAACTCAACAAACGCTGTACATGCACTAGGATCAAGTCTCCACTCCAGAGAAGAAGTAAAATTCAAAAAGGTTTGAAGATCACCAGAATCAAGGCGTGCAAGCCACCCTTCCGGATGAAAAACACGAACATCAGATGTCCACGTGTATTCTGATGCAGCCACGCACCAGTCCCACCGGGGCAGGCGTTTGCGGTAATGTGCAACTTTGTCCAGGATTGGTTGATCAACTTCTTCCTCAACGCAAGTTGGAACGATACACCCAATCTGCTTATTCCACTGCGAAAGGAAAAGCTGACGGCGAAAAACTTGTTGCTGTACATATTGAAAGGTCTTAACACCAATAGGAAGCCTCGCAAGAGCTGCTTGCTTTGCACAATGATCTGCAATTCGGTTTATCACAATACAGCGCTTGGTTGTCTGATGCAGAACCGCGAATTCTTCTGAAATTTGGTCATCTCTCAAATGATCCGCAAGATGAGCAGGAATCCATGAAACACGGACTGGATCAGGACACTGTGCTTCTCGTAAAAGATACACATCTAAAATCCTTTGCCACCACAGAGGGTGGGAGCAGGAGCATGAAATCTTTCGATTACGAATCAATGTGGCAAATTGTGTGACAACAGATTGGCAATCAGAGTAAATTTGAACCTTTGCGGCGCATGTCACAATGGCTTTATACAGGGCAAAAAGCTCTGCTGAATATGCTGACAGGTTGGGAAAAAGCACCGGTCCGGCAGAAACACACCGGCCACAGCTGTCAACAACACTATAGGCTGCGGATGTAAGCCAAAAGTCTTCCGCAAAGACGACTGAACCATCGCTCCATCGCTCCTCACAAGTCAATGAAGGATCAAAAAGAGCTGGATGGTCTTCGTCGATTGGGGTGTACTGTAGTCTTGCTTGAACAATGCCTACCGGGTGTTCAACAAGGCCTAGGATCTGGAAGTTGGGACCAAGTTCATGCACTGGTGGTTGCACAAACGGAAGTGGCCCCGTACATTCTTGCAACAAATGTCGCATAGATTCAGAAGGTGATCCACAATAACGGCAAGCATTTGACTCGGTGAAACCTGCAGCATACCTCCTGTCGTTGGTCACAGTGCAGCCTACACTCTGCGATTCAAAATGAGGTGTCAAGTCAAGTTCTTTGTTTTGTGGTTTGACATAAGAACGATAAAAGGTGCGAAAAAGGAAAGGATCCAAAAAACCCTCAGGTTTACATAGATCCTTACGTGTCTGACATGCAGCTTTTTCATAACAGCTCTGAATGGCAAGGTGTTGCAAAAGCACTTTAATGTCTCTTACACCCAGGTGAAGTGCAGGAATTCGAATATCACCAAACACAAGCTCAAGGACAGGAGAAAGACTCAATTTGAAAACATTGAGAGCGGTTTGGACTTGGTACAACAAACTGTGCTTGGCAAGAGAAGTGCCCGACAAAAGGCGACGACATTTCTCAACCGCAGTGGAGTCAACATGAAGCAATCTCCAAAAGTCAAGAACGCAACAGTATGCACGGGCACAAAAGGGTTCGACTCGGTGAGGTTTAGTCAACAACGCAAAAATAAGCATCTTTGAACGCCAGTGGGGACGTCCGCCCCAGAAAACCTGGGCGATTTCACTTTGGATCTTTTCGATGTGTTTCTTGGGTATCTTCGAAATGTGAGAGGCAAAGGTGAGTTGTGGAAGGACTTTACTTCCAATCAAGTGTTCCTTGACAGTGCGTCCAATTGGAAGGTTAGCAATGTTCTTGATGTCGGCAACAATTTTGTAGCACTTATTGGTATCAAAAATATACGAATCTCTTGGAGATGTATACGTCTTGGCGCCCAAAACATCAAATTCAAGATGCAGTGGTAAGTGCGGAAACAGCTGTTTTGCTTGCTTTCTAGCGCCGGGCGAAGTGGCCCACAACACACTCTTTTGAGGGTTAAGTTGTTGGCCTACGAGCGAGCCCCACAGTTCAGTGGTTTGGAGTGCAGTCTGCAAAAGATGGATCTGATTAAGTTTAACCCACAGGTAAGCATCATCGATGAAAACACGCGAAACAACATGCGGAATGTGCTCAATAAAGGTGGCCCAAACGTGCATATAGGAATTAATAGCCAAAAGCGAGAGTGAACAACCCTGTGCCACACCATTAGCATTAGTGACAGCATTTTTGGAAATCCAACCTCGATATGACAGGTGTTTGTGTAGGCCTCTATACATCATGAGAAAAAGGTTGACAACTCCTTTCGGAACACCAAGTGCCAACATGAAAGCACCAGCGATTGTGGGAATGATCCTGTCGAAACACTTGGACTGGTCGAGCTTAATGCCAACAAGATGATCGTTGGACTCCTGGGCAATGTCAATGTCAATACGGAGACCATTGCTGACAGAAGACATCGAACGTCCACGAATTCCACCGAAAAGAGACGAGTGCAAGGTGGCATTCTGCCATTCCTGAAGTTGACGAAAGCGAGTGCCCGTGTAGGCAAGCAAAATAGGCGATAAAATCGTGATTAACCTCTTATTAAGAGGACTTGCTGGACCTGCCTTATTTAAAATAGCTTGTTTTGCACAGACCAGAGTAGATGGAATGTCACCACCACTCAGGTTTTCAAGAAACAGGAAAAAATTGGCAAAAACCTCGAGACAATGCAGAGGAAGATGCTGTAAATCAGTAGTTCGCCACCCATCCAATCCAGCAGCGGCATCTGGGTTACGATGCGCAATGGTAGTCGCAAGTTCTTGTGCCGTTAGCGGCGGCATGGACCAAGGTTCATGGCTCGAACTAAGATAAGGCCAAGCAACCTGCAACACTTGAATTGGGTCTTCATGGAGTGCATTGGATGAAAAGATGGAGTCCCACTGATCATTAATAAGGGATAACGCTGCATTTGGTTGACAGACAATGTTGTTGTCAATGTCGGTGACAAGGTTTGTAGGCTCGTCCAATACCTTATTACGAAGGTGATGGAAGATGTACTTTTTGTCACCATGTGCAGATTCTTTAATACGGGATTTCCAAGATTTTATGCGGGCCTGTCTCTTAGAGAAGTCCCATGCATCAAGCTGGTACTGAACCCAGGTAATGCACCTATATACATCAAGGAGTGTCGGTTGTTGCGGCACAAGCCAAAGGAAAGGGCATTTCAAAGTCGAGAGCGTATGCCGAACTTTAGTGGTTGTTCTCTGAAATACATGGAAATCTTTGAGTGATGCAAACGGCCGCTGAAGGCGTGTATACAATTCACGAAGTCTGGCAAGTGAATTCTGAAGCCACGAACCCTTAAGGGTGAGGGCGGTTAGAAATCTAGATTGACCCGGGCAAAATTGCTTCGAAGAAAATTTGGGGCTAAGCCCTCGGGAGTGTTCCCCGTGTCCCCAGGTTGTGCCTGATTTGACAAGGGTTTGAACACACAGATCGTTGACAATTTTCCACTTATCTTCAGGGGAGGATAGGTTATTGAACTGTACTTCAAGGCCTGACTCCCACAGTACCTTGGCATGCTGATTAGAAGGGTGATCAGGATTACACCCAGGTTTGTCAAGGTGAGCAGTGTTCAACGGAGCGAACTTACAATGGACATAACCGTGTAATCGAATCGACCTCCAAGAAAAAGTGGCACGTATTGCACGATGCTGGGACCCAACAGTGTCCACGACATACATGGATTGCAGAGCGGAATGGGCAACCTTATTTACTAAGATGCCATCAATTGAAGAACAGAAATCACCAGACCCGCTGAAAGATCCGTCTTTCGAGTAGGTGAGTGGTCGACAAACCTCACCAGCAGCATCAGTTGTGGAAAGGGGGTCGAACCAGTCATTGAAGTTAACTGCATTAGAAATGGACGGGTAATGAAGGGGGTTGGACTGAAAATCCCCTGCAATGATGACGGGTACTTGGCCAAACTGAGCTGCAATTAGGAAAATATTGCTGAACAGGTCGTCATTAAAATCGAAAACCTGCTGGTTAGCAGAAGCAGCAGTCTTCGCATAAACACAAAAGACCAAAGCCCTTTGGGAGGGAGTGACTTGAATCCAACAAGCATTAGCTCGGTGAGTGTTGAACAAAGAAGTATACAGACCAGTAGCATCAGACTCGGAAGAGAACGCCTGGGAAATCTCAGGGGGTGCAAGGATGGCTGTACCTCCATTCATGGTGGTGGAGGAGCCGTCTGAACGAATGGTGCCCTTCAAAGGTGCACCCATGTGCAGGGCCTTACCTGTTTCTTCTACAAGCTTCTTTGAATGACGAATATTGTTGCACCCGATGCGTGTCTCTTGGAGACATTGAACCGTGTCAAGAGAATGCTTCCAGGAAAGATTAGTCTTAATACTTCCTACTCCTCCGTTAGCCTCCTTTTTCTTGGGTTAAGCCACTTCCACAGGTTCTTCTCAGAATAACCCGGATCCTTCAAAAAAAACATGGTTTTTTTATGTCACCAAAATCACATAGTTGCTTGGTTGAGTGCAACTGCCCCCCTCCCCCCTCCACACGCACATCCCTGAAGGCTCAATGTTTTTTTCATCTGAGCAAGCCAGCTTTGATCCAACTTGCCTTGCATGATATCAAGTACCTCTGAAGTGTGCGATCCATCACTGTCCTGATGGAAACCCTTCGGCTTACTCGAGCCGTTCTGCCAATCAGGTCTTCATCAACCTGTGTTGCAACCGAAATGGGGTTGCATGCAAATCCGCATGCTGAAGAATCATGAAGGAGCTGCAAGCCAATGTGGTGGAAGACATGCAGTTTTGGGTAAAGCGGAAACAGATGTGGAAGGGATTTCTGCCACTGTCGCACAGCCAACTCTTGGTAGATGCGCAAAAAGTCCAACACCTTCTTTGCTGCAAACAGGCTCTCTGTTCTGTCCAAAAAGAGTGGGCTCTCATACAGGAAGCTGAAGAACGCATTCATGGAGCACACAGCCAACAGGCACTTGTTCATCTCTTCACTTTGGTGGGCAAATTCACGAATCAAGGATGGCAACCACTTCAAGAAATTTGTTGTTAGCGCACCCTTGTGCCAGTTGCCCATGGCACCAGTCTTGTCACCATAGCTCATCAAGTATCCTGTGATTTTCGTTATGTGCGGTTGTCGGTGCTCACTCCGACACCACCGCCGATAGTGGTCTGTGAGAAAGCTCCAACGCTCATCCAAGTTCGAGCACGGCAGGTAGTCAAGCATCAACTGCAAACAAGAAGCCACTGTTGAACGTCCAAATCCCAAATGGACTGTGTGCCAAACATCGTACATGAAAAAGGATGCGGGATCCGCAAGGTCGTGCGGAAGCTCGGCTATGAAAGGCGGAGGTTCCACCCATGGCAGCTTGACACCCATGGTCACAAGCCAGGAGGGCCTCACTCCTGACAGCTCCTCATAGTGATGCTCACCTGTGCCAGCAAGGCAGAGGTGGCATATGCCACGAGGCCTGGCATTCTCTCGACCTCTCTTCACCCCAGTGTTAAAGGCTCTTGTGAGCCTTCCGGCCTTTTGCAAATAGGGAAGGTCACCCTTGCAGCCCAACACCACAGCACGGTAGCAGACTCCAGTAGTTTTGCAGGTCACACCAAATTCCAGAAGCCCATTCAAAGCTCTGGCAAGGACAGTCATGGCCTCGTAGAAGATATCCCCATTTCCAGACTCATACAAAGTCTTTGGGATGACTGATGTGACAAAACGAGTCGTATACACATGTCCAGAGTAATTCACGTGCAGTTTCGTCGGGTCTGTAGATCGCTTGGTGCGTTTCTCATCAAAGCCGCAGCCCAAGATCGACTGTATTGACGTCACCAGAAGACCACCGCGTTTCAAGGTTCTCCCTTCGTCTCCATGGAGTAGCAATCCTACCGTTCGGGACCAATCCATGTTCTCTCTTTCTTCAAGGAAAGGCGCAAAGTTGGGCCGGAGCTTTCTATACTCAGCCCAGAAGTGTTCCCATCTCGGCTCAGCTAAGTGCCTTTGATCATCTTTCAGGCCCGCAAGGGCATGCCAACAACCATGATCTACGATAAATTGCAACCAGTCTTGTGGCGAGAGCCATGGGATCATATGGGGCCCAGCACGAAACTCAGTGATTGGAAGATCAAGAGTTGTTCTTTGCTCTTTGCAAACTTTATGGACCTTCTCTTCTGAATGGGACAAGGGAACCCTTGCCCAATCTAGCACCCCACACTCACTTGCCGCTGTCTCTCCAAACTCGGCTGCCACAGCTTTGGCAGTAGCGATTTGGCTGGTGCAGCTGGCCTTGGCGCGACAACCCCAAAAGGACATGTTATATGAATTGTAATGAACAGCTTGGGTGGCAGAATGCTCACATGCATGTGCACACACATTATGTATATGCGGCTTCATACTTGTGCATCCACAGCCAGCTCAAGTAGAGGGACGCTAACTCAAAAGCAGCAAATGCTTTTTTTTCTCCACCTACCTTTTGAAACTTATCAAGATTGAATTTTCCCAAGGCTCCTTGGGTTGGCCAAAAAGCCAACGGTTCTAATTGAAACGTGCAGGACACTGAGCAGCTATACACTAAGTTCACCTAAGTTCTAATTAGATCGATCGATTGCACGGTGGAGGATGTTTGAAAGACCGAAAGACCACATAGGTAAAGAAAGGCCCCTTTCCATCAAAGTCTGCACCAGCAGTGTCACCACCAGACCTGATGTTCTTGCAGCCCTGCGTGCCTGAGTTGCCACAATGTTGTAGATTTAGCGCATGCACTCCATGGGCAAGTTGCATACCCTTGAGTCCTTAAGTTTCTAGCCCCTATAGATTAGACAGCTTTGTTCACAACCATTCGTTGGTTGCTGACATGGCACTGGCAAAGCGGCTGATGAGCGCTGCTTCCAAAAATGCTGGGCCATGTGGATTCCCAGCAGCATAAATGATCACCATATCTTGAAAACGCTCAACTGACTTCTCATAGCCGAACTTTGAGTTGGACCACCGGAAGCTAGGGTTGTGGGTGATCCCGAACTTGAAGGTGATGGGAGAATGCTTTTGATAAAGCGAATCAAATGTTGCCACCGCGTGTTCCAGCACTTTCCCTGCTGTAGCCATGGGTTTGGGGAGCCTACAACTCAACCGTTCATGTTTTTGCATCGACATGAACACATCAGGCGTACGAGGTAGGTTGCGAATATCTTCATACCGGCTGTAGTCATACTCAGGCAAGAGTCTTTCCAGCGGATGCATGAAAGGTTTGTTTTCCTTGAGGTTGTCTGTCCATTTGTCTAAGGTCAAATCCATCTTCATAGTTGTTCCTCCGCCTTTTGATGATGGGGAAGCTTCCCAAGCGTAGGGTACCACAGAATCCTTCAGTGGGACAGAAGGTCATTGGTTGAAGTTAAAACACACGTTTTGATTATAACATGACCAACCGACTCTTTAATAACAAAATGTAGTAAATCATTCCCAAGGTTCAGAACGGTGGCAGGTAAGAAGATCTAGAAGCTCATCGTATGGATCTTCCGAGCACTCCATGGGTGAGTCCATGATTTCACAGGTCAAAGAGGCAAAGGTTGGCACGCAACTAGCCCTCATATAGAACATTGCAACATTAAAGTCCGTATATGTTTTTTGTTCAAACATAACTCTTGAATGGAACACAGGTCGAACTAAATATGTTCATCATATATGTCACATGTTATGTTTGTCACTTCAAGGTAATTTGTTTGTGTGTGCTTCCGGTTTTGACACAATGTCAAGATCGAGTCAGTGTTTGCGTGCTATTGGACATATTTGCATGGTTTGAGGGTCAAAACATCGCATTGACACCAGGAAGGTCACAAGGGTTTGCCACTGTGTTGGTTCCACCATCACGCCAAGCCCCCGGCCCCGGATCCGACATTCTTCGCAAAGGCTTTGGCGGTAGGCCCTGCACCTGGCATAGAAAGCGGAGATTAGTGCAAGCAACAGTGTGGGAGAGCCCAAGTCCTGGACCTTCTGTAAAACAAAGTCACTGCCCAAAAAGAGTTGTTTTTCTTTCCCACCTTCTCTGATCAGAGCTGCGGTCAGGTGCTAGCTCGAAATATTCCACCTGATAAAACCCCTTGGCACAAGCCATCAACTCTTGTACTCCATAGGTCACACTTGCCTTATTATTGGGTTCTTGACATGCAGAGGGGCCCTGCAGTCCCCAAAAATGAAATATGATGCAACAAGTGTTAATATACAAAGGATGAGTATAGCAACAAACACTTGACGGATCCGTGCCAGAGCTTCACTGATCCTTCATCAGTATGCTCGAATTTCCATTGTGTCCAAAACACACTGGATGCAAACCCCCACGCGCCGCTCAGGAGAATCCTACTTCTCTTCCTTCACAGTGCGCTTGAAGTGCCGCTTGGCACTCCTGGGGCAGGCGGAGAGGAGCTGAAGTTGGAAGCCACTATGTGGAAGAAAACGATCATCTAAGTCTAAAGTTATCAACCTCAATCTCCCGTATACAATTGAGTTCATTGCACTTTCAAGCTTAAGATATTTAAGGCCCATGAAACATGGGCGGGTTTGTTCTGCGGTCTTGATAGGCTGACCAACCGTTTTGTAAACTTGGCACTTTCAAGGATCAAATGTCTGTTTGGGTGTCTGACCTGATCCGGGCTTCATTCTGGGCAATTTTGGTGCACCTAAGCTTGGCAGCTTTTTAGCAAACCAGATTTTGGTATGAGTGCATGGTAGGTCTAGTTGATACACATGCGCATGGATGCCATCGTTCACATCACAGCACTGCAAAAGTCCCAACAGCAAAGGCACGTAAAAGATGCTTCCCTCATTTGCTGCTCGGACTTTTTGCCCCACCTGGAGCTGTCTACCAGACAAGTCCATGAAGCATTCAGTGTAAACATAAATTCATTGTATAGCATTGCCTGTTGAATATGCACAAACACACTCAACAGTTCATGTGTTAGCAGTCTAGCCACTCCGTGTCGAAATCCGCCCTCTCGCCCTCAGCCATCAAATTCGAGAGGGTGGAGTAGACCTTGTCCATTTCATTCAAGTCCTGCTCCAGGGCTTTGGCAGACCTGAGCAACAAGTACGTGGTGGGCATGAAGTACGTGCTGGGCATGAAGTACGTGCTGGACAAGAAGTACAATCGATTCTTGCTGGATACACGAAGGACAGTGTTCTTTGGGTAAGTGGGTAGGTAGGTGGGGGGCAGATGCTATGCACAAACAGCTGATGTAAGTCCGTGACTTTTGTGCAGTAGAGTCTGTATCGTAGTGGGTGTGAAGATCTGCAACCAATGATCGGATCTTGGCCGCCTTCTGGAGTACACTATCACAGAACTTGCGGAAGACATTCTTCGACCTCAAAGCCTGCAGGGTGTATAAAGTGTCCACACTATATGGTACAGTGGGTTTTCTTCTTTATTCAACTTGAGTTGATTTGCGTCTGTGAAGTTCTTATTCGTTGGAAGCATGTGTATAAGTTTGTTTGACTAGCAATCTCCTGCCTCTGAAGTACCAGCAGTGGCAGCAGATTGCATTGCCTTGTTCCTCTTGTCAAAGTCTTCAAGGACCTTGCTGTTCACACCGTCCAACTTCGCACCATTGTCCTAAAGGCTTACACGTGATCTTGGGTATAGTTAGCTCAAAAGAGGCACAAGAGCAAGTCTTGGAACCCTTACAAAAACAGTCAGCAAACATTGGGCTCGGTCCTTTCCAAGCTCCTTGTGTATCTCAGATTTGGTACGTTCTTGGCCTCGCTCTCCTGACTCTCGGATCTCCAGAAAGTATTCATCCTCCCCTCCATAGCGGCAGGTCCTGCATTTTGTTTGCTCTTTAAATATTACAATTTTGACACAAACATATAAACTATGCCTGACAAAAATCACAAAGGGTTTCTTTCAGTGAAACTACTACTGTTTGCAGATAGATGTTGAATCCGTCCTGATAAGATTTGAGGCATCCTGCTGACAAACAGCAATGGCCCCGTCAATCTTCTTCCTCAGATCGAAAGCGCGACACGCAGCGAAGGGATTTCATCGATCACAAACAACATTCTGCTCAATAGGTGGTTTTGACACACTTAGCCCTACTGTATATATTTATTTTGCTTAATCAAGCCATGGCAAAATCCAAGCTTCGAGGTCCAATGAAGAACTTTTGACATATCATCACGAGAGTACCATCCAACGGTTACTTTGTTCTTCTCGGTTTCCTTGGTCTCCACTGATCGCTCCACGGTTTTGATGAACTCGTCCTGACAGGACAATAAACTATGCATTTTGGACCAATTGTACCTCCAGGTTTGAGTCTGTGACTTGACTGCGCTAACAGCGAACCTTGTCGAAGTTGCAGGCGGCAAAATCCAAAGCCATCTGCATGTGGTCTCCCTTTTTCCACTGTTGGTGGAGCCAAAGGGGGACATTGAGTTTGCCACCCTTCTTCAGCTCACAGGTCCGTCGCAGTTTTGCCTTAAGCTTAGCCCTTGTCTTCTCGTCCTGGGGAGGGAACAACGAAAGGAAAGTTATAGTATTCAGAACAGTAAAGAGTACATAGTATGTAGAACCGGAAATGAAGACAATGAGAGAACATTCAGCAAAGCTTCCATAGTAGCTCCAGGTTTGGTTTTCTCTGAAGAATGTTCTTCAGAGGTGGGTTTTTGAGGGCTGATAGATAGATCACGGTCCGCACTTTGTGGGTCACGGGGTCTCTTGGTCCCCGAGGGCAGGGATTGAAGACTTCCCTCCACCAAAGCTTTCATAGCCGCTGCAGCATCAACCTTTCCAGCCTTGAACAGTTCGATGAGAACCTGAGGCGATATCGCGAAAGGATATACTTGTTAATTAATGTTCTTACACACCAATCCAATAGTGCAGGGTGCATATTGTTCTTTTGACATTACTCACCTGAAACATTCAACTATAGCAGGGCACGGCTGTAGGATCCACAGAACTTCCATGGGAGCTGGAAGATCTTGGGGTAGTTGCGACAGAAGTCTCCAACTCTGTGGGGGTTGGAGCAACAGATGGACTAGCGGAGCTGCCCAGACTCTCGATGAATTTGGCAAGTTCATCACCAGAAGCAGGCAATGTGTCTGCCTCTTGCAGCACTGGCACCTCCTTGGAGCCATTGGACAATGGAGTAGCCTAGGATCAAGGTGAAATAGGAAGTGTTTTGAAGACCCTTGTTGATGTATGAAACATGGAGAAGCTTGAGTGTCAACAACATTTACACACCAAGTTGCTTGGCTGCGGATCAGTTCTTTGGATTTATCCTATGGACATCAAACTAAGCTACGTGTCCATTACATGTAAAGTGATTCTGAAGAAAAATCACACCAGTTGAATGCGCACTAAAAAAATCCTTTAAGGTTTGGACTTCAGCAGACGCTGAAGCATCAACGATCGTAATTCGCTTCAGCTGACTCTCCAGCTCCTCAACACATATACCAAACAAAAGGTACAACCATGTACTACCAGAATGCATCCTCAAGGTTAACATGTTGAAGACTGGGCCCCAAGACAGTTCCCAAACTTTCCTAACACAAGATGAATGCACTGGACAGCTTAGGCGATGCACCTCCAGGTCAGACATATCCTCTGGAAGCTGCGCTTCGCCAGCAAGGATTTTTTCCAACCCTTCGGTGAGGGCATCCGTATCCCATGCTTGGGACATCATAGTTTTCAAAGTGTCCGCTTTCATGAAAGCCATCGTACGGCAAAAAAAACCCTGTTGCTAGATGCTATCGTTTCGTTCAGGGCCAAATGCTTTAAGATACATGGGCATCTTCAACGAAACATGACCACTTCTTCAACATTGACTCCACCAAGAGATGGTTAATACAGTATCCAAGCTCATATTTGTCCGCAACTGGCATCAAATCACACAATAAGTACTTTGAATTTGAAGCGCTCCGTGTGAAAACACCAAGCGCTGCTTTCAGAACTTGCATCACTCTCGAATTAGTTGAAGCTTTTTCCCAAGCGTTCAGCTTCAATTGCCAAACAAAGGTGTTTCGACCAGGTTTGTTTTTGCTACTGTCCCCCAAAAATGGACTAAACCCCAACATAAATCATGCTAGACCCTCCAAGACCTTCCAAAACTCAACATAGGAATCCACAGTGGATTTGGATTTTAACCCATAAAATTTTACGGGTTATTACGGGGAAAATACGGGTATATTACGGGGAAAATACGGGTTGAAGAATACGGGTTGCAAACTACGGGTTGATTACGGGTAATAACCTGGTTTTCCATCCAAATTATGGGGTAAAGTACGAGCAATCGTTTCCAAAAACCTGGCTTTTTCAGAATACGGGTTAGTCGATCTTGATTCAAGTTAGTTCATGTTATTTCCTTTCAAGCACAACTTGGAAGCTTTTGGGATCATAACCGCTGAAGTACAGAAACCCTTTTCAGCTACCCAGGATCTCCCGGGACCTCACGGAAAGCTTCAAAGCCTCTTCGGAAGCAGGCTCCGGAAAGTGGCCGGGACTGAAAGGTGAGTCCCTCCTCGAAGCCAATGGCAAACACTGGTCACCCCTGACTCAGTCCAGGGGTCCTCCCAGCTCATAGACTCAAAAGTCTCCTCAGCAGAGGGAACTCCCTCTTCTGGAAGGGTCGGCATTCCCAATTTATCCTTCCGCATATCGGCAAAAATGTCCACGAGCTTGATTCCAAATTGAGTCGGGTATTCCCTTAGATAGTGCAACTAGAAAAAGATGGACATGAGCCAGGGTTCTTAACATGGAAACTCGATCAAAAGAAACAAGCTAAGTCAAAGACTCACTTTTGCGAAGAGCGGGGCCCCCTTTGTAGCGAAGTTTTCCCTTGGAATCCGTGTATTTCACAACAAGCTTGGAAGCAGTTCCTGCTGCTTCCCGCTTCTTCTTTTCCTTGGTCCACCCTCGAAGTTGCCCGGCATTCAGCCGACCAACTGCCGGAGAGTTTGAAAATGCCAGGTGCCTTTTCGGACTGGGTCCTCCATAGTGGAACATCCACCAGGTGGTCCGGTGGACCTGGGCCAGGGCGCTGGCACACTACTCTTGGATGCATGCCTGCACCTAAGGGGATAGGAGGTCGGGTATATGTGCTTAGGTTGTTCTAGCATTTGGTGAACACTTTACACAGGTCTCATAGTGTAAATTCCAGGTCCAGCGTCGCACCCCAAAGCCCGACCAAAGATGTCACAAACAATGCTTCTGTGCTCTATATATCGACCCATCTCCAGGCAAGGTACTGCACCAAGGCCTCCACTATCTTGCAACATCCGGATGAAGTCTCTGAACCGGGGATACCACTCGAGAAAGGAATTTGCAGGCTGCTCTACCAGGATAGTCCCATTGAGACATACCACCAGCATCATCAATAATAGCATCCTTAAACTGAGAGGTCATGAACTTGACAAATGTTTTTAATATGGTAATGCATATAGGTCAGAAAATAAGGAACCAGCTACACCCCGCTTTGAGGATTGAAAAGCATACCCATTCACCAATACTGCTTTACATTGAATGAATTCCCACAGGACTGCTTTACACAGAATGTGTATCAGATAATCTCATTGAACACCCGCTAGAAAACAAGAACATTGTTTTAAACAGTTCATGCAACCGGCTCGCGAGCATATTGGCCTCCAATACACTGGTGAATGCTAAGTTCCCAATCGCACAGCATGGACTCCGGTTGCTGGTTCCGGAGTTTATTTGGGTCCATGAGGAACACTTCAGACCAAAGTGACACACCCACCCATCCTTAACGTTGCCACGTAGGATTGTTGCGATGGCTGTCCTTGGTTTCCCCTTGGTTGCCCAGTCCCGCATTTGTTGAAAAAGCGGTTGAACATAGACACAGAAAGTGCATGAAACTAGCATTGTGTTCAGATTCGCAAGTCCTGCGTCAGATGTCAGGTCCATCGGGTTCTGAGCCCCACCGCGACTCTTCATATACATTATGTCAAGACGTGCGGTGGAATACCCACCAAAGGAGAAGCTCTTCGTAGCTCGACCAGCACCAGCAAAGAATTCCACCCAATCAAAGAAGGTGTCATCCTAGCGCACACCACAAAAAACTGAACTGCAAAGGTTGAGAATGACAAGAAATGAGTCAAAATCAGTTGGGCTCAGTGGCTACAAGCTGAACAAACCACGGTGTCCTGCAAACGTGGTGTTCCGCCTTGTGCCATGCCATCTTCCGTCCAAAGCACGAGCAAAACTGTGAAAAGGAGAACCTCAAAACAGGTGAGCGCGAGCAAGGATAGGAAGCGAGGTTATTCTAGAGCAACTCAATTACTGTGAATGAAATCGCGCCCACGTATCCAAAATGGTGAAACAATCTATTCGGCACAATTGATATTTGATCTGGCGGATACCTTCTTTGCACCCAATGCAGAAAAGAAGCTTTGGGTGCACCCAATGTCTTGAGTCGCCACATGAGCTGGTCGACACAAGACTTCGAGTAAGAAACCATGGGTCACAAACCAGCAGCCGGCACTGAAAGGTTGCTGCTCAACAGGAAGCCCAAGGGCCCAGAATATAATTTCAACTGGATAGTACGTTATGTTTTATACAGGCCCTGTTGCGTTTTTAGTGTTTGACTTTCATGTGCATGTGCATACTCAATCCTCAAGGGGATCATATAACACAACATTGTTTCACTTCTCATGTACTTGTCCTCAAATAGAATGAGTATAGTATGTGGCGGTGGTCTCTTCTCGGCGCTGAATGCTGCATGGCTTGCTCCATCTGAGGAGCATCGAGCAGTTCCACAGGTCCAACATCGAGTCTCCACGCTATCAAGCTGCACAAAGAAGAACCCTGCAATTGTTTCATTGAGACGCTCAGGTGACCGAGTCACTTGTTCCCAATCAACAAACACTTCATCAATATAAGCTGATCATAAGTGATGTTTTGGGTTATATCGATACCCTCCTATCAAAGGATTCTCTAAAAATCACATGTGGTGTCACTCGCAGTGATTCCACTGGTATATGTCAGAGACCCGTTCAGTTCCAATTGCAATCAAACATGTCGAGCTTGCGGCTGTCTTTGAAGATGCCAGCCTTCACGGCCCATTTGTTCTTCTTGAGGTTCGGCATTCACCTTGGCGGATCCATTGGAGGAAAGCTTTTGTGGCTATACATATAATGGAAAGGATACTTGGATAAAAACACTGTCTTCTCAAATCTTCATATCGAATGATATCGAAAAACAAATTATAGTTCCCATACATGTTTGTTGCGCTTTAAATTGAAATATCACTTTGTAGAGTGCTTTTCGTGAGAACCATGTTGGTGTGAACCGCTCACAGACGCCAGAGTTTTGAAGTTGCTTGAGCCATACCAAGTCCAAGCTCCTTTTTTCAAAGCTGCCTGAGACATGAGGTTGACCCCACGTTCACCCCACTTTGAAGCACCCTAGGAAATCCTTGATTGCATGGTGTGCCCACAACAAAGGCTCATCGGCTTTCTCGTGGGAAATCCACCATTTCAAAGAATACTGAGGCAGAATGATGCCTCTCTTGGCTTCGACACCCGTCAGCAATGGATAGAGTACACACGATAAAACAAAATACAAAACACCAATTGTAGATTATGCAGGATGTTAGGGGATGTTGCAGGGGATGAGGGATGAGGGATCATACGTTAGTTTCCCACCGTGCAATTGAGAACACATAAAGGGTCACTGGTCAACTGCTGACTCTAAAGCATCGAGCCACTGGAATTGCTATTGCACACTCGTAGCGACACTAGGATTGAGAGGGGTATATCTCCCCGAGCACTACCTGTGCATTGTACTTGAGTCCTGCATAAACCCGATTGAACTCAGAAGCTGGGTCCTTGTAGGTTGCAAGGACCCCCAAGGCCATGTGGTCATCCTGGCCGTTGTCGGCAATCCATCCAGCCTGGCAGCCACCAGTCAACAGAACACCAGCCCATCTTAAAGATCAACATAGTTCAGGCGTGTTTTTTCATATCAACCATGCATATGTTTGGTTTCTGACAGTTCCATGGTCCAGACTTTGAAATTGCCTGTCCACTTAGCAAGGAAAGCATCGTATATGAGTGTCAACCAATTAAGTTCAGGGGTGTAGGAGGGTGCAAACTATACATACATGCATGCACAAACAAAGGAACACACACACAGAGAAAAACTGTTGAAAGAGACCCATCAAGGAACCAGCAAAGCTGACGCAACATAGGATGCGACCATTCGCCCATTCCAGTCTCCCGTGCTGAAAGCGAAGTAGGCCACCTGAGGCTTCGCAGGGATCAACCTTGTTTTCACCCCGCTTGCTGTCCGAGTCCAGTAGGGAGAAAGCTCTGCTTTGTCAGTGTTCACTGGGAAGTTCGCATAGAGAAACAACTTCAAATTCTCGAAAGTCAAGCCCTTGGACTTCTTGAGGGCATGGCGAATGATGCCCTGCTTTTGCTCGTCGGCGAACTCGGTGGCCTCAAGGTTCTCCAACTCCTGTGCCCTCCTCCGCCTGGCAGCCCTGGCTTCCGCTGCCTCGGCTTTCTTCCTATCGATCGCTTCCTTGCGAGCAGGGGACATCTTGACCTTCGGAGATGCCTTCTTTCTTCCCCTGCCTTTTCCCGAGCCCTTCTTCGTAGGTGTCACAGTAGCATCTGGAGCCTCCTCTGCGGCTTTCTTGCCCTTGCCCCTACCCCTCTTCTTCGGGGCAGCCTTGGCTTCAGCCTTGGGTTCCGGTTCTTCTTCGATCACCTCATCATCAGCTTTCTCTTCAATCTTCTTGGCTCGCTTCCTCTTGGGAGCTGCCTTGGCCTTAGCCGTAGCCTTTGCTGCAGGCACAGTTTTTTCACCTTCTCCCTCACCCTCATCTTCGGACTGGAAAAGCTTTCGCTTCGGGCTCGGGCTGGCCGCAGCTTCCTCTTCCGTGTTGCCCGTCTTCTTCTTCTTGGCTTCAATCTCTTCCATTGCTGACTTCTTAGTCCTGGCACGTTTGGCCTTTGGGGCAGGCTCTACTTCCTCCTTTTCATCCTTGGGTTCATCGCCACTAGGCTCAGCCTTGGCCTTTGCTTTGGCCTTCGCAGCCTTGCGGCCTGCGGCTTTGGCCTTTGCTGCTGCGTGTTTGTCGTTTTTTTTCTTCCTTTGCCCTCTCTGCCTTCTCTTTCTCCTCCTGGGCGATGGTCTCCTTCTTCTCCAATTGCATACGCCGAGTAAGCACCGGCACCTGCACAGGCATGCAGGGCTTCCCCAAATGATTACACCTTTCAATCCAGATTTGATTGGACAAATGACAAACAAACTCTTTGGTTAGAGCTTTCCAGTTCAAGACCATTAGATTTCATTGGCTATTGGACACTGAATGAGAAAGTCTTTTCAGTACTATCAACTGTTGTTGAGCCTCTTGCGGTTCTCCTTCCTTCTTCTCCTCTCCAGTCTCACCCGGAGAGCCACCACTAGCCAAAGGAATCAAAGGAGACCCCGTCACCTGAGGCTGAGAATCGTTCAGCATTTCCTCGGCAAAGAGTTCGATGCCATCCAACCCCATGGGTTGGGTCTCCATGTTGTCCGTTGCAACCACAGCTGCAGCACCTGTCAAGGAATGAAGATGGAGTTGAATTGAAGAATTGGAAAACAACAATATAGATCGATCGATGTTTACACACTGCTTCACCGCTGCTTTGCCTTATCAATTTCACCCAACACCTATAGTGGCTAAATCAGGCCCGTGTTTTTTTGTCACTATTCCGGCTTTGTACTGACATGCGTGCAAATGAAGGAATCCCTCTTACCAGGCTAAGAAATCACATCTATAGGAAAGCACATATTTTACTATAGAGACCATGCGCTGTTCCAGCCTTTTGGCGTAGGCTGAAACCCTTTGGTAGCATCTGGCCTGAAACATGGTCGGGTAGGAGACCGCATGCTAGTCAGAAATTTAACATAGGCCCCTCTAGTTGTGTCAAACTGTACATGGGAATGACTTTAAGGAAGTCCCCTTTCAAGTGAGAAGCGGTGTTCACATACACTGCTGCCAGTTGTGCGCGCACAGAATCTGAGGAAAGCACTTCGCGTGTTCAGCCTTTCTCGACGCGATCATCGCAAGAAGCTTCTCGATTTTGGCCAGCTGTTTACACTTACCTGGGTTCAGCGATTGGAATCGGAGGGGGGAGGAGTTTCGGATCGTTAACATGTATAAAACACATGGGTTGTGTACAAGCGTCAAAATTGAAATGGATAACATGTCTTAACTGCATGCATGCATGATATATAAAATTTTAAATCACATTGTCAAGATCGACTTTGTTGGAACACCGGGGAACAGCTTCAAACAAATATACAACAATGTTGTATGTGATCAAGCTACATTCTTCTACCTTGTTATTGCACTTCTCACATGTCGAACCGGTAGTTGCCACGGAAGCTGGAACCATTTCCACAGGAGTTGATGAAGAGGGCAACGTGGGAAGCGGACCATCGGAACCCCCCCGAAGCCTCCCCGGAAAGCGCTGGTTTCCCAGTGTTGCCATTCGTCTCCTCCTCGTTTTTCTCAAGCCACTCCTTGAACTGGGCAAAATCCATTTTGGTTTCCGGATCTTCTTCATCGAAGTCCTCTGGTCCATTGCTAGATGAGGTTCGAGGCAAAGTTTTGCTTGCCATGAACTCAGTGATCAGGTCCTACCAAAGCATGTTCGGAACCATGGGTTCTTGAGAAACACGTACTATATAATATACAATTCCAAAACACACTTGGGGTAGGACAACGTTATGCATCAATATGCATCATTATTTGAGCCCTGCCCAGGGTCTCCTTCAAGGATGGGTCCAAGGTCAGTAGCAACTCGTGGAAGCGAATATCCTCAGGGAGACAGGACGGTCAAATTGAAACCTATGGTTTTGGTGAACGCGATGTAGTCACTCAGATGGTGGAGAGCCTATGGGGAAACAATGTTTTTTTTGGATTCAAATAGTCGAAACGATGAGCACCCACCAGACTGACCCCGAGCAAAGACACATGCAAACATGCATCCCCAATCCTTGGTGAACTCTTTCCGTGCTGGTGAGGCACGGCGCTTCACAAACCCAGCGAGTTTCTTCACTTCGATCGAAGTCGTGTAGATAGCCTTCTCAGTTGGACTGTGTCCCACCTTCCTGAAGAGCTCTGCGATCTCAGCCTTCAAAGGGTCAAGGTAGGGCAACTTCCAACCTGGTGTTGCAGCAAGCCTTTTCAAAATCACTTTGAGGGCATCCATGTTTGCCACACAATTGGCACGTGAGGGTTCGCACCAAGTTTGCTTCACATCAGCCCGTTCAAAAAGCTGCTGCTTCTCACGAAGGAGACTGCGGACTTCCTCAATTTTGTCTAACTCACTGGCCAAGCCCGCCACATCCATGGGTGCTCCCTGCCCACCCCTATGAGTAGGAAGTTCCATTGTCACTGTGGCGCGGTCAATGACAAAGCTACAC